CAATTTTCTTCCACAATTTGATCTGAGGAAGTGGGTCTGGCCCACGAAAGCTCATCACCTAATAAACCATCTTGTTAGTCTTTAAAGTGCTGCATAGTGCTGTCTTTTGTTTTGGAACTCAAATGTCGTGGGCATCTCGAAACCAAGTCTGCAAGCCGTGAGACAGGAGTGCATCATCTGTCTTCTCAAACCTAGGTTTTCTTGGGGTCCACGTTTTAGAACCTGGGCGTTCCTGATATTCCTTCTAAAGCCCAACCCGTATTCAGCCTGCTTAGCTTTCCTTGGCTGAACTAAAAGCACAATGAAAAGCAAAGTGGAAAATGCTGCACTGCCCGAGACAGCAACGTGGAAAAATCCATTCTGCCAAACCCCATCCTCTCCCTCGTTAAACACACAACTTCAGTGCGCACCAAATTAGTCCTTTCAACAGATGTGTTCTTTTCACTGGCTCTGTTTCTGAAGTAGCTGTCAAACTTGTTCTACAGTCTCTGGCTTATGGTACAGAAAACCTGTGCTTTTAAGAGGCCTAAGGAATATTGTAATTTATTTCCGGCACATGGACTGTTCTTAATGGATATCCATCTAAAAGCCTTTATTGTATTATTCAATAAGGCTCGATTTGGGGCAGAGATGATGGGCAGATTATGATCTCATTTACACTGGTGTAAGTCTCTGGAAGCCAATGGAGTCAGTCCAGGTTTACGCTAGTGTCAATGAGACTGAAATCTGGTCCCTTTTATTCCCATAACAGAAATCCCCATAGCCCACCGAATTCTGTATTTTCTTTCCCTGCTCCTTTTCCCCCAGTGACTTAGGGAAACACCACGAAATTCGGATCCAACCATTACCCCAGCCATAGTCAGATGACTGAACACCGAGTACAGAGGGCCAGGCCACGTGATGGCTGCCGACTCGCCTGGCAGTACGTTGTGGGGGTTACATGCACTCCGTGTTTTCATGCTCTCTCCAGAGTGCTCACTGATAAGTGAAGGTTACTGCTGTACCAGACACTTAGCTATTAGATGTTGCGTTCACACAGCAGAAGGGCTGAATTAAAATGAAAAAGGGTTGCCAGGCGACCCACAAAGGACTAAAATAGATGAGTGCTGAGGAACCAAGTATGGAGTGAAATGTTTATATCAATAGTCAGATCGGAGTCTCATCAGCCATGTATGTCGCCAGAATGGTGAGAACAATGGGAGTCATCCGAAGTTATGAACCATCTCTGAATGAATACACTCAGCAGCCTACCGGTATGCTAGTGATTGAAGATATCGCACTATACATCGGGACGAGAACAACCTTGCTGACCAGCTAAAGAGAGAACCGGGGGATGCATGTGGCTTCTGTCTCTGTTCATCTCTCTCAAATGTTGTCCGCAAAAGTCTTTGAGTCCTGGGAATTTAGTGACAAGAAGCCAGATTCCAATCCCCATGGAAATTCAGGGTCGCTCCAGTGAAGTCAAGGCAGTGGCTGCAGGTTTACACCAGTGGGAATGAGATTGGAATCCAGTTCAGGGAAAGTGAACTCCCACCTTTCACGGCAACCACCGGACATGAGATCACATGCCAAATCCTACAGCTACAGAAGTACATTCTCATTCCAAAACTGTTCAGATTGAGACTTTAATGTCACAGCTCTAAGCAAGAACTTAGCAAGGGAATCCCCATCGCTTGCAGTCACGGCTGGATCACTTTCTTTAAATCATGCCAAGCCAGCAGAAGCCAAGATAATTGTAAAAGTCCCTTCCAGCCTTAAGATGTATAAAAATTCATGAACATTTGAAAGGTAAGGGCTCCATGACCCCCGGCATCTCAGCTTCGTCGTGCCCATGCGACTCTGTGAACGCTTACTTTGATTCTCTCAGAGGTAATGTGGACCTCGAGTGCTCACTGGCTCCAGGGTGAGCAGGAGATATTGGTAGTGCAGAGAGCTTACATGAGACATGCGACTTCCAGACCCTGTGCACAACATCTCTAAGGCCTGTGTCCACGTACAGCGTAAGGGCACTAGTACTGCTCCGCAAGTTAGACAAACACTTCATATTCATATGGCAGGATTTGCCCTTTAAAATCCCAGCCTAAACTCTGCACTTAACTTACTGCTAGCGTTCTGTGCCACCTCTGTGCTGATTAAGCCTCAGTTGGAATATTGTGTCCAGTTAAGAACATAAGAACGGCCGTACTGGGTCAGACCAAAGGTCCATCTAGCCCAGTATCCTGTCTGCCGACAGTGGCCAGCACAGGTGCCCCAGAGAGGCTGGACCGAAGACAATGATCAAGCGATTTGTCTCCTGCCATCCCTCTCCAGCCTCTGACAAACAGAGGCCAAGGACACCATTTTATCCCCTGGCTAATAGCCTTTTATGGACCTAACCTCCATGAAATTATCTAGCTTCTCTTTAAACTCTATTATAGTCCTAGCCTTCACAGCCTCCTCTGGCAAGGAGTTCCACAGGTTGACTACATGCTGTGTGAAGAAGAACTTTCTTTTATTAGTTTTAAACCTGCTACCCATTAATTTCATTTGGTGTCCTCTAGTTCTTCTATTTAGGGAACTAATAAATAACTTTTCTGGAGAGATGTGGAGAAATTGGAGAAGTTCCAGAGAAGAGCAACAAAAATGATGAGAAGTCATGAGCTATGAAGGAAGGCTGAAGGAATTAGGCTTGTTTAGTTTGGAAAGGAGAAGACTAAGAGGGGACATGATGGCAAAGTTTTTTCATATCTAAAAGGGTATTATGAGGGAGAAAAATTGTTCTCCTTGTCCTCTGAGGATAGAACAAGAAGCAATGGGCTTAAACTGCAGCAAGGGAGGTTGAGGTTGGACATTAGGAAAAACTTCCTATCAGGGGGGTTAATCACTGGAATAAATTGCCTAGGGAGGTTGTGGAATCTCCATCACTGGCGATTTTTAAAAGCAGGTTAGACAAACACCTGTCGGGATCAGGGATGGTCTATGGTGCTTGGTCCTGCTGGGAGTTCAGGGGATGGGACTTGATGACTTCTCGAGGTTCCTTCCAGATCTAGGATTCTCTGATTGATTCTTTGGGGCTTCCGGGAAGCACACCCGATTGTTCTTACGTTAAAACCATGGCTTATATATCTATGCTGCCCAATAAATGAGATGCTTACACAGCATGTCTGAATCAGTGTCTGTTGCTGGCTTTTGCAACGAGGGCGTAACGTGGAAAGCCGAAACATTTTCATCCCTGCTGAAAACATTCCCCCGGTTCCAGTAACTCTTGGGTGTAGACTACTGCAGTGTGGGGTTTACTGAGCTGCTGGACCTTCCGTCTAATGCAGGGGTGGGGAACCTAAGGCCTGGGGGCTCAGTGCAGCCCCTGACTTGCCTGGATCCAGCCCCCGAAGCTCAGCCCCCCCCCCCCCCCCCGCCCTGGTCTCAGGGGTGTCCCTGTACTGCCACAAGAAGGCCACAGCAAAGTTCTCCTGCGCCCGGAGTGCAGGCCCCTGCCACCGTGGCTACCAAACAAAGCTCGTTGTGCCGGGTGCAGCCTGGGACCCCTGAGAGAGGCTGGCGCGGGGCCCCTTTCCAGTGGCACAGGGCAAGAGTGCATGCCAGGCCTTATGGCCTTTACCATCCACGTACACCAGCAGCCCTGGGATCAGCCGGGGAGCTGCGCCCCCGGCTCTGTGTGTGTGTGTGGGGGGGGCAGATCCCTGTGTATCCGTATCCCCAAAGGGGAGCCCCAGATGATCCAGGGGTGCCCCGGCTGCAGATCTGCAGGGCTCTGGTAACAGACACGAGGCGCCGGGGGGTTCAATCTAGATGCCCCCCGATCCCGGCCCCGAGAGCCCTGTCCGGGGGGCGCACTTGCAGCCTCCGGCGGCCCCGCGTACGCCCCGCTCCAGCCAGAGCGCAGGGGCTGGGAGTCTCCCCCCACCCCCGCCTGCTGGCCACGCAAGAGCGCGGGGGCTTGGCCTGAAGCCC